AAGATAAAAGAAAGAAGAGAAGAACAGAAGTTAAATAGGAAGAAAGGAAGAAATGAAAGACAATAGAAGCAGGAAACAAAGATAAAAAGAGGAAAAGATCGGTAAACAGAAAGATGAGAAGTAAGCAAGCAAGAAGCAGATCGTGATAGAACAACGACGAGCAGAATGAAGTAAAAAGAAAAGGCAAAGGAAGAAAGATAAAAAAGAAGTACGACACAACAATAGATCAAGAAGAGCAAAGATAACGAGAAAAATGAAGTAGAAGAATAGTAGAGACAAGAGAAGCAAATTGAAACGAAAATGATAAATAAGACGATGTCAATAAGACATAAGAAGAAAAAAGTAGCGAGAAGTGAGAAAGACAAGGAATAGAAAATGATGGAGAAAACGAGACAACAAAGGGAAGAATTAAAGGAATCGGGAAAGCAGTAACGAAAAGGAAGAAAGGAATGTAAGAAGAGAAACAATAGGAAAGAACATGACAAAAATATATGATAAGAGAGCTCAACAGGCAGGAAAATAACAAGAAACAGTAAGCAAGAAGGAGCGAGCGAGTGACAAAGAAGGAAAAAGGAAAGAGGAAGAAAAAGGAAGGAAAGGCAAAGAAGCAAAAAGAAGACAAAGAACATGAGAGGAACAATGGAGAATCCACGATAAAGAAGGAGAAAAAGAGAAAGTAGGACAGAAGGAAAGAAGAGAAAAGGAAACATAAGAGTATAAAGCGGTCAGGAAGAAAAAGATCAAAAGATAACCGGAAAGAGGAAAAAAATAGCAAAAAGCATAAAGGGATGAATTGGAAACGACAATAAGAAAGAGCAATACATGAGAAATAAGGAAGAATTTGAAATAGGGAAGCAAAAGGGACAGATAACAAAGCAAGCTAGCTAAAGAGAGGGAGAAAAGTAAAGGACAGAAAAGAGGAGAAGAGACAAAATTAGGAAAAGGATTGTACGAGAGAACACAAAATGGAGAAGAGAGAAAGAAGAGAAGGAAAAGAAAGAAAGAGCAGCAATGAATAGGAAGAACAAAATAAGAGTAGGAGAGAAAAGAAAAAGTTAGTAAGAGAAGCAAACAAAATGGATACTACGAGATATCGAAGTACTAAGCAAAATAGGTAATAACAAGTAGCACAACACAACAATTATAGTGGAAAGAGGACGGAAACAAATGATAGCCGACAGAAAAAAAGGGAAAGTAAGATATAAGAAGAAATGAAAGAAGAAAAATAAACGATCCGCAATCATAAGGAAAGGAAGAAGGAAAGTAAGACAATAATACGTAGTAACTATAAGAGACAAAACGATACGAAAAGAAGGACAACGAAGCTAAGATAAGAACAGATAAATAAAGTACAAAAGAAGAGAGAAGGAAGAAAGAATAAGAATAAACAAGGGAAAGAAGAAGTCAGGAGCAAGTAGGAAGAAAGCCATAGCAGGGAAAAGAGAGAAGAAGAGATAACCAGCAGAGCAGACGATAACAGTATAGAAATGGATAGTAGCGATAACAAGTCAAAAGACAAGAGGTAGAAAAGAAAAACAAGATAGACAGAAAAAACAACACAAGCTAATAAGAAAGAAACGAACACAATAATGAATAAGTGAAATATAAATTAAGGAGGAGGAAAAGGTAGGTAGATAGACAAAACGAGGGGGAAAAAGAGAAGAAAAAATCAACTGAAGGAGAAAGATAAGAAAGATAAGTAAACAGGAAAAAGGACTGAGAGCGAAAGATAGGAAATAATTAAGTGACAAAAAAGAGCAAAAGATAGGAAGCAACATCGTTATAAGCAAAACATCAAGAATCAGGCATGAGAGAGTAAGGTGAAGACAGAAAACGAGAGCAAAGGAGATGAGAAAAAAAGACAAGAGAGATGGAGAGAGAAAACAAGAGGGAATAGAAGGGGAAAAAACAAGTGACGGGGTAAAATACAAAGAAGACAACAAGAGAGAGAATACAAAAGGGAGAAGGAAATGCAATGAACACGTAGCAGGAAGTCGAAGAAGAAGAAGGAAAAAGAAGTCAGAAGAGAATAGCACAAAGAAAATGAAGAGAAGGAGAGAGCGAGACGGAGAGATTGCAAGAGAAAAAAAAGAAGACAAGATAAGGAGGGAGAAGAGAAGGAGGAAAATAGCGAAAATCAGATGAAGCGAAAGTTAGTAGAGGGAAGAAGAAAGGACAATAAAGGGTATAATACAAGGAAATAATAGGGAGTAACAAGAAACAGTGAAAACACCAATAACAAGTATAAAGTATACAAGACCCGAAGGACTCAGGAAAATGGTAATCAAGAGAGAAAGGAATAGAACAAAGAAAAGAGGGAAGAAAATTGAGAGGAGAATGCGGGTTAGTAAAAAAGAAAGAGATAAAAGATGCGAAAGCAGTGGGGAAATAATGATGACCAAGAAGTAAAATAAATAATAATAAGCAATAGAGATAAAGAAGGATCAATAAAGCAAACAAGAAATGAGGAAGAAAACAAAGAAAACGACGTCAAGAGAAAGGCAACGAATGAAAAGAGCAAGGAACAGTACAGCGAAAGAGAAACAGTAAGAAAGAATGAATAGGAAAAGAAAGTAAGCAATAGAGAAATAAGGAAAAAGCGAGAAAGGAGAAGACAATAAATTGTGAAAACCAATACACAAAGAAAGAGCGAACGCAAAAGTGAGAACACAATAAGGAGCAACATGAAAAAAATAACAGCATAACACGAGAAAAAGCAGTAAAAGTAAGAGAAAGAATAGAAAGAAAGAAAAGAGACAGGAAAAGCATAACGTTCGAAAGGAGGAAGAAAAGAAAAAGGAACAGGAAACAAGAAGGGACAAGAAACAGAAGAGAGAAACGAACAAGGACAAACGACAAGAAAGAAAGATGAGAAAAATGGCGAAATAAGCAGTAAAGAGAAACAGAAAGGAGGAAGTAAGATAAAAGAAAGAAGAGAAGAACAGAAGTTAAATAGGAAGAAAGGAAGAAATGAAAGACAATAGAAGCAGGAAAC